TATTTATTTTAGTATAGATAAATAACATGTGTAATAACATATGTAAAAGTAATTATCTAGTAATAAAGGTACTGACAGGACTGTCAAAGAGTTAAAAAAAAAAGAACATGTGCTCTGGAAGCATGTACTAAGAGAAGGGAGACTGTAAAGCATCTAAAGCCTGGGCAGACCAACCTTTCCAGGTTGCCTGCTAGAAACAAGGGAGAGACTGGTAAAGAATCTGGAAAAAAAAGAAAGTTTAAATGCAGGTATTGGGGTAAAAATGAACCTTACAAGAGTAGGAGATATGTGCAGCTTGGGTAACTGGGCTCGCTAATATACAGGTAAAGCCATAGCACAGTATTTCTGAACCAAATCTGGAAATGTGTGGGATATAGAGGATTTAGGGGGGCATCTACTGCACTCTTTCTCAGGTAAATACTGGTTGATTAGATTTGAAGGGTTTATCTATAAAAAGGTAAAGTCAGTGGGGAAATACCAGCCTGGGTGGCCTTTGTGCAGCATGAAATGAGACAGTTTGAACCAAATAGGGCAGTGCAGAACTGGGAATATCAGTGAGTTTAAATGGGTAACTCTCTAGTTGGGTTATAGGTACGATATCTAGTGCAGAACCTTTGGACAAACTACTTAAATAGGTACCCAAAAGGTGCACATATGGCTTAATATACCCTCATAGATCTAGAAATATACTGCAGTATATAACAATATAAAAATATAATAACATTTAACATTACTCCTAATAAAGTTTGCCTGTCAAGCAATTCGGCAATATAAAAAAAAATAATAATAATAATCTTAAATTTAAGTTTTTAATCTTTAGTAGTTTGAAGTTAATTTTCTTTTAAAGTTAAATATTTCTTTATTATATTCTTTAAGCCAAATAAGAGAAAGACTAAAAAGCATAAGTTTTTTATTTTATATAAAGCTACTCTCCTCTCTTCCAAGTGACTTCTAATTTTTTTTTATATATATAGATTTGCTATTTTTTAAAAAAAACTCTCCTCTTAAAAAACACATTTTTCTAGCCCTCTTCTAACTAATTTACATTATATAATAATATTATTAGTTAAAATAATATTATTAGTAAAATAATATTTAAAATTAAAAAAGGTTTTAATAAATAAAGATTTTTTTTAGCTTTAAGAAAAGTTGTAAAGAGGTTTTGATTCTAATAGTAGTTAAATTATTAAAATTAGCTTAATTGATTCCAAGATACTTGGTATCAAAAAAAAATAATAATAATCTATAAATTCATTATTATGCAAAGTATTATACTTTGTATAACAATAAATTTGTAAATCTTTATATTCTTTTTTTTGATTTCAAGTATTTTGAAATGCATCAAGCCAGTTTTAATGATTTAATTATAATTAGAACCAGAAAACCTTCTTTTTAACTTTTTTTAAAACTAGAAGAAATCTTTACTTAGTAAAACCTTTTTTGATTTTAAAATATTATTTTAACAAATTATATTATTATATAGAGTTAGTTATTTAATTTAAAGAATATAGTAAAGAATTGTTCAATTTTATAAAAAATTAACTTCAAACTACAAGAGATTAAAAACTTTAGCTTTAAACTAAAAATTATTAAATATCCATAAAAATATATTTAAAATTTAGAGAAAGGTTTATATATATACTTTTAAAAAAATTAAAATTAAATAATTTTTTTATATAAATTCATATATAAAATTAAGGTAAGTTAACTTATTTGATTTATAAGTAACAAAAATGTAAACTCTTATATATAAGTATATTCTATAACTAATAACTTTATTGCAAATAAAAGATATTTGTCTATTCTATATTTATAGAAGATGTTTTGCTTGCTTTAAGCATATTTATTTTTTAAATTGATATAAAGTTTGATTCAATATTTTTTATCTATTTTTTTTGTTATAAAAGATTATATGCATTTATTAAAAATTTTAAAGCCTAAAATATAAATAAATAAATAAATAAATAAAAGAATTTAACTATATAAATAAAAGCAATCTATAAATAAATTTTACTATACAAAATGTATTTTTATAATTATTAGTTTTTTATTTAGTTTGATATCTTCAATATCCTAATATTCATATTCATCTCTATCTCTATAATCATTTTCATTTATATTAAATTTATCAAAAATAATAGAATTAACTATTGCAATTGAAACTAAAGTAAATGATATGTTATCTATTAATAATATATAAATTATTTTCTATAAAGTTTTTTTGGCTTTTATAATAAAAGATAACTTGAATTTTGTTGAACCTAAATAAATATTAATATATAAGTTATTTTAATACAAAAATATTAATATATAAAATATCTTTTTAAAAAAGAATACATCTATATTCCAAGTAAATATATAACATATTTATACAAAAAAATCTGTTTTTTAAAAAATAAGAACAAGAGCTCAACAAATATTCTTTGTTAGTTAAATATTTATAAGAATTTTTAATTACATAAATATTAAATTTTTTTCATTCTGTTTTAAAATTTTTATACTAGAATAGTAAAATCTGTTCATGTAAAAGCAATTAAAATTGCTGTATTTATATTAGTACTAGTTTTTCAACAATCAAATAATAAATAAAATTAATTTATAGATAATTATATTTATATAAATAATTCTTTTTTAATATTCTCTTGTAGAATTCAATAATTATAGTTGTTCATATTACTAAAATTTTAATGAAGTTAATAATTTCTAAAGCTTCTATCTATCACAATAGTACTATTTAGTTCGGAGATATAACTATACATAAAGTAAATTTTTTCTATAACAAAAATTAAATAACTTACAAATTAAACAAGTTTATATCTCTTGTAAAGTAATAAATTCTTTATCAACTATAAGTATAAGTATATAAAAGTAAAGATAAATTTCAATATAATTAAGTACTTCTTTTTTTAAAAGTTTTAAAAAATTCTTTATAATATGAATCTGTTTGTTGTACTGAATTACAATTCCATATCAGATTTATTATTAAATGTTCATAATATGTAGCATATATATCTTATCTGATATTTTTTTAGTACTAGATAAGCTTTTTGCTTAATTGCATATTTGACATGCTACTCACAAAGCTGTATATTTATATTTTGCCAAATAAATTGTGCAATAAAAATTTGTAAAAAATTTTTATTTAAAAGCAATATTTCAATATTATTAATTTCTAAATCATAAATTGCTTTGAACTATTTTGTAATAATTATTTTTATATTGTGATTTTTTTTATATAAAATATATAAATAACTAATTGGAAATTCTGTTCCATCAACAGTAGCCATTAATGTATAAAGCTTATTTAAGCTAGTAAATTATATCAATAAGTATTGTTTTAAATACCATTTTTGATAATATATTAATAAAGGATGTAACAAAAGCGCATGCTATTACTGGATTGTCAAGATCTAAAATAATTTCATATTTTTTTCCTCTTAAAAATAGCTTGGCTGATTCAACTTGATTGTCTGCATGCTTATATTTTGTAACAATGTATTGAGCCTATCAGTAATAAACTTGTTCAACCATTAATAACTTGTAGTCATCTATTTGAGTCATAGTAATTTGCCTATATAATTAAGATGCAGAAAGTGATAAATTCATTTAAATATATTTTTTGATTTCACATAAAACTTCAATTTGTTGTGGTCAAGAATGTAAATATAAATAGTTTAATTTTTTTATTGCTAATTTAGTTTGTAAGTTAATTTTAATAGAAATCATATCTTTGCAGTTATAACAATCTAATCAAGGTTCAGTATTATGTTATTTGGATTCTTATACTATTTTTTTTATTTTTTTTTCTAATTCATTACAACAGTTGCACCAATAAATAATGAAGTAATCTTGGTTTATTTATTAAAACTTTTTTTATGGTAGATATAAGAATATCCATCACCCTTCTCACAAAGCTTTATAATTTCAAATGCTATTGCGCTAGTATCCTCATCTACATTTAATTTGTCAACCATATTAGAAATATTTACAACAATTCTAAATCCACTTTCCCATCTTCTTCAACGTCCACTGATTCTTGATAAACAACATCTTCAATTTTTTCTAGCTCAACAGCCTTCTCCTGCATATTATTAACATTATCCATATCTTGTTCTTCACGCTTTCTTTTATGTCTTTCATTTAACCGACTTAAACATAACGAACAAGTTTTATTACCACTTTCGAAAAAATCAGCGGGCTTTTCTGAATGACATGTAGAACAATACTTCGGATCAAATTGTGAAACATAATTAAATTCCTTTTTTTTAGCGTTGAATGAAAAAAAAAAAAAAATAGAATTAAAAATTTTTTTCAAAAATTTTTATTAATAAATTTTTTCGTAATCATTACAATATATTGAATTATATGTAAGTGTCGGCAAAAAATTTAAACCCAGTTCGTAAATGATTTTGGTAGCTATGCTGGGTTCGTCCATCTCTAGTAGGGATATTACAAGAAGGTGAACAAGGTTATGATGAGGCAATTAGTAGATGGTCAGATTATGCTATCAAAGACCAGAATGATCGTTCAGGTTGATACTTAAAAAAGATTCTCAATGATCATAGGTACAGATGGCCCGAGGGCCGTCTGCATTATGATAATCTGTGAATCCTCTTTGTAATTTTAAATGTCTTATTTTTACTATTACATTGTTCATTACAATTTTCACGTGACCAGAATCTTCTCATGGAAGATTCCTGAGCATGCGGGAAGTTATAATGAAAGTGATCATAATAACAAATAGTAAGGCAGAGAATTATTAATTAAATTTTGTAAGTTATGATGGTGGTACGATTAATGCAGATTTCTGTTATTTAAATTTTAGGTTGCAAACTTACCGATATTGTCAAAACTAGAGTTTGGAACCGGTTTTATTTTTTATATATTAAAACCGGTTTAATCGGTTTTAGCATATGAAAAATAAAATCGGTTCCAAACTCTAGTCAAAACAGTAAGATTTTTTTTTTTTTTCTGTTTACCTTCGAATATAACCATCACATAACTTACATTATGTCCTTTGTTGTGTAGATTAAATTTGCACAGGAAATGATGTTGACTTAGCCATTCACGATAGAGGTCATAATCTTGGAGGATCTACCTCATCTGAAAATGGAATTATGTAACGTTCGCGTTGACACTGAGCAAAAACTGGGTTATGCTCAAGGAGGAGTAAGGTGAAAAGTGGTCAATGAAGAAACTCATAAGTAATGGTTTAGCTTGTGTAAGCCCTTGTGTTGTAAAATTGGTGTTGGAGGATACGGTTATCTTACAGGTAAGCAACGAAAAAAATTCCATGTGTATTTGGCTATTCACCATCTCGCATACTAATATATATTTATTTTAGGAAAATATGGATTATCAGTAGATAACCTTGTTGCTGCAACAATAGTTTTGGCAGATGGTAGTGTAAACCCTGATTTACTTTGGGGAATTTGTGGATGCAGATTCAATTTTGGGGACTTTTATATGATTTTGTAATTCAAGCTTACGAGTATCCTAATGAAGTACATGCTGGAGCGTTAATTTTTCTCGGAAAAAATGTATGCGAGAAAACGAAAGTCAACATAAAGAATCATGAATTTCTTCAAGTAGTTTTTAAACGAATGCTTCCTCTGGGTTATCAGCCAATAGTTATTTTTGGACTAAAGAATTTCATTCTCGTTTCAGAACATTGTATTTTTTACGGCCCATTGATGGTATCACGCGCGCAATGCCATATTTTAAATCAAATACTATTTGTGATGATAGTACTTTTGGCGATCGTAAAATGGGTATTTCAGCTCATTTTGATCATCCTTTCCCTGGTTTGTCGGTGAAAAATGCATGGAAAACTTTTATATATTTCACTGATCTAACGAAAGAATTAGAAAAATATTTGTTGAAAGTTCCATAGAATTTTTATTACTATCCTGTAAAGAATATCAAAAATGAAACCGTATTTCTGAGTAATGCTGGAATTAGATGTTCGAATAGAGGTTATATGGTTGGATGATAAATATAACGAGGAAGCCTTTAAATGGTTAGATCAAACAAGAAAAAGCTTTCATGAACATGATACAAAAGATCATGACCCAGTCGAGATGGATTTAAAAAAATGGTTTCAAACCTAATCCACCCTAGCAGTTTTTTTTAATTTGTGTTTAGCCCGAATCCAGAATTCTAACAGCCGCAGTTCTTGTCGTGAAACCATGTGATTACATTGTTATATACAATTGTTATATGCTAATAAATCTTCTATTTGACATTTTTTTCTTAATACTTGAAGTGAAAACTTTGTTTACTTATCATGGAAGGATAATAATACAGTACGTATAAAAATAATAAGTACATAGTATAATAAATTCAAAAACTTTAAAAACTTGCTAAATTTAAAAAGCAAGTCGGTTCATATTTTCTTTTTAAGTTCTTTCAATCTTTCCAATAAATTCTCTTTGCCGAATATGATGTCAAGTCTGAATCAAAATCCCGAAAAAATTTAACCAAGACAACGTATAGCTGACGCTACCTGACTTATTATGGGTTGACCTGTCTAATGACGCTTTAAAGTAAACTAATTTTAAAATGCCTCAGGGATAAATGAAATTAAACGATAATCATATTACATAATATTATAAAAGTGAAAACAACAGGCCTAAGTAGTTAAGTTTTAAAGGAAATGAATGAATTTCGAAATGTTAGAAGAAACGAAACCAATGACAACCAATATTTTAAAGAAAATATACTGTAACAAGATTAATGCAGTTTAATTTCAAAACATATTAATAAATTCGCATAATTTTAAGTATAGGAAAACAATTGAATCTATTTCTAAAAAATGAACACAAGCTTTGTTTGTTAAAATGAAGATCCTGAAAGGATGACTGTTGAAAATTGAAGAAGCTCTTGATTTCTCGTTCTTTGTGTTCTTGCAAATGGATCTGTACCTCTGGTCAAAATTTCATATAGCTCATCAGCAGTAAGATTATCAAAAGATGGGTTTACGCGAACAGCAAACGGAGGCTGATTTCCAACCACTAGATTCGTAGGCTGTTCCATGCCATAAAAACGGATTATTACTATTATTATAGTAATAGCAATAATAGTTGTTATCACAGTAACAGCAATAATAG